AGTGTATCTATCTATGCTTCTACCTTGGCCAGAAGTCAAAAAAAGGCAGCTCAAAAAGGGAAATTAGCTTGTCTTCCTATTAGAAACTAGGATTACTGAAAGAACAACACAGAGGTCTGTCATCAGGGCTGAAACTGCCTGTGTCCCTGTATACACATTTGCTTCATTTTCCCGAAATGGATGGTGTCATGGTTTGGGATCAACCCCTCAAACTTTGCACAGTTACTTCTGTAGGTCACTGTGTTAGGTGGTGGTAGTGGGGTGGGGTCTGGCAGAATGCATTGTTGCTTGGCAGAAAACTGGAAGGATTTTCAGGAGGGGTGTGGTACACGCAGAGTCCCTAGCAGCCCTGAAGGATGGACAAGATACAGAGCTACTAACAGACAGTGACCCTTAATATATGTTCATAGATTTAAAAAAATTGTACGTTGTACACAGTGAGCCCAATAGCGGGAAAAGCCCATCTGTATTCTTGTGTGTGAGCACACATATCTGTCAGTGCAGAGAAGGAGGCACCTGCCAAGGCGCATCACACCCCTGCAGGGGCAGGGCCGTGCCTGGGAGGGAGCATGCACAGAGCACACAGCTCGTCGCACCCAGCAGGGGCTTGGCCTGCTGGGCTGCTCACACAGTTTTCCTGATTTCGTAAACCGACAGTGTAACTTGTGGTATCAATAAATGTATTTATTGTGAATATATTTTCTATTTCTAATGATTTTTAACAACCTTTTTTTCTAGCTCTATTATAAGAATACAGTATATAATACAGATAACAAAGAAAATATATCAATCATAAGGCTTTTATGTTACCGTAAGGCTTCTGGTGAGCAGTAGTTTATTAGTAGTTACATTTTTGGAGCGTAGTTACATTATTAGTAGTAGTTACACTTTTAACCTACTTAAAATCTGCATATAGGTTTGACTGCCACCTCCCCCTCCCTGCCATGTTAAGGTTCAGCCGTAATTAAATTCGGAAAGAGAATTTTCAAGTTTTCAGTATTGTTTGCATTTCCAACAAGGAAACTGTTTTTGCATGTGATTTTTACTTATGTGTGACTTAGACACGAACCAGTTTCCGTAGCTGGAGCCCCGCAGGCAGGTTTTCCAGGCAGAGCAGGAAAAACTATCGACAAGGAAGCCAGGTGCTGAAAGGAAGGGTCGGCTGGCATGCGTTTTCATGCAGTAATCACAGGAGCGGTGTTGTGCTGTGGCTTGTGTCGTCCCACAAGATTGGGGTCAGTCCGTTAAAGTAGTGGCAGTTTTCGGTAGGGTTTTAAGTGGCTTAGGCAGATATATCCATGAAGCCAAACTGTTAGACGGAAACCTCAGCTGCAAACCTAATTCCACAGGACACTCAGAGCCTGCAGAGCCAGGTGCTGCGGTGTGCTCATTCTCAAGAACTTTCCCTCTTGTGATTTGATCACGGTTGTGAGTCAGAGGAGGCTGGGGACCAGTTTGTCTTTTTAATGAGGAAAAGGCACACAAAGCTTAAGGTTTGCAACCTTTGCCAAAGGTCACATTGTATATCCTGATAAAATTGATATTGTCTATAAAAACCAGAATGAACCCCTGCCTGCCTGTGTTGGGTACTGTTCTGGGTACTCTAGATAGAAGCTCAGGCACACTGAGTGGCTTAATTCTGTGAGTAATAGGTGTGCCTCTCACGTGCCATGCTGCGCTGTGGCTCTTGGTCTTGCGTTCCGGAGCGGCCGATTGAATAGCACCCTCCTGGAAAGCAGGCCACAGGAGAGGTGCCGTGAGTGGGAGCACGCTCTTCGAAAGGGTAAGGGCGTTCTCTCGAACTGGAGCTCTGACGCTGAGTTCTCAGAAACAGGACGTGCGTAAGACAAGTACTGAGATTAAGGACGAGACGATAACTTGCAAATGCTTTTGAAGCTGAGTTCCCTGTACACCGGTTTATAGAATTTATCTCTTGTGCCTAGTGTTAGGACTTATTTTGGTTTCTATTTTGGGGCCACTTAGCTGATCTTTGATGAAGGAATGCAGCCCTTTATTTTCCACTGATTCAACTTTATTTTGTGGAGGTGGTAACAAAGACAGGCTTCCTATAAATGCTCTGGTATGGTGTACTGTAAAAATTTCTTGGTTATTTGAAGAAATATGCATCTAAATTAAGGAATGCTTTTAGCAGTTGACTTTAAAAGGTAACAAGTTACAGTAATGGTTCTGCTGCTTAAAATAACCAGACCATTTTTTTTTCCAGAGCAAAGCAGACAGAAAACACTATGGCACTTTAATTTGCATTGTTTCAAGTGTTCCTGAAGGAGCACAGTTTTGTGTCACTGCCTCGGCTTTCCTCTCACGTGAATGTGTGTTCAGAGGGGCTGTGGGAGCAGAGGGGCAGAGAGACAGAGAAGGGTGGGGGAACACGGGTCAAGAAGCAAGCTGTTTCCCTCGGAGACAGTTGCCTTGTGCATTTCCTGTTCCTTTACTCCTGCTAACTCACAGCCCCGTAGCTGGAGAGACACCTGTGACAGGCATGTTGCTCCCTGGCAAAGTGAAATGAGCTTGGCAGGATTCATTTCTCATGAGTGTGGTTTTCAGGGATCTTAGAAGTAAATGTAAGAAACTACAGAGATCCAGACTTAACATTTTGATCAAAGTTTGGCATGAAACAACATAAATGTGCCCAGTGTGTAGACTTTTAAATGTTTCCAGAATGCGCCTTTTCTTGAAAAAAATTGAACATTTTGGGTGTTACGAATGAGGGCATAATTAGCGATCTGTGGTCTCACACACTGTTTCCCCGACAGAGAATCCACTTAAGAATCAATTCTGAGAAGTGAGTAGTACTGTATAAAATGCAGCAGGTGGAGACCCACAAAACCAGCTGATTGGTATGGCTCACTCACGTTGCATTCTTGATACGTACTGGACACTGATTAGCTGTTATGTTATCTCCTTCAATTTTACAACAACCACATGAAATGGTATAATCATTGTTTCATTTTTCCAGGGAAGGAAACTGAAGATGAGAAATGTTAACACCTAGTAATTAGTGTGGCCAGGCTTCTCTGTTAGGGGATCTGTTTGGGGATTCCGAGCTCTTAACTGCCATGCTGCATTGACCCTCAAGGAACGAATGAGCAGCACTGGTCTGAAATCGGCCCCGGGTGAGCTGGACTGGCTCTTCTGGACTCCTGAGACCCAGTTGCTAGAATTTAGAGACTTGGAAAATAGCAGTCATTGGCATCATTATACACAGAAATGAGCAAATTTATTTAGTCATGAATAAAATAAATACGTCCGTAACAGTTTTTTTCCAGTAGCATTTGTCTTGTTCTGAGAAATTGTAATTGGTATAGTTAGAACTGAGAAAATTAAATTCAAAGGAATTGATTCTTAAATTTCATAGTGGAAGAGAGTTTCTTTCGTGCCTCCCAATTGTTTATCTGAGGGTTTTGGAAAGGAAGCCCTTGCCTGTCCAGCTGACTGGCCTGACTGCAGAGTGTAAGGGCAGCAAGTGTGTCGCATTCGCGGGGTCCCTTTGATTACTGGCTGAGACCACCCGGGGAAAGGGAGAGAGGTCGGCAGGGAGCACAGAGGCCATGCTGGGGGGACAGCGGCGTCCAGAGAAGGAAGCTGGTTCAAACAAAACAACACACGACAAAACAGAACAGAAAAAAACATGGGCTCCAGGAAGGCGTTTAGGGGATGAGGAAGCTTAGTGGCATGTGTATAATCTGCTTCCATCTGTAATTTTTATTTTAATACTGGAATCTGGGTACTTAATCTTTCCTTAAAACTATAAAGCATCATTCTCTGCTGACAAGAATCATTAACTGACGGTGGTGTTTCGATTGAATACATACATAAACCTTATACATTGTCATTTTGATGCATTGCATCAGGTTCTCAGATTTATCCTCCTAATGCTCTTCTTATGAAGTCACACTCCTCGAATTTTGTGTTTAGCATATTTATAATGTCTCCTACTATGAAAATCCTCCTTTGAGCCTTTTCCCCACCCAGCTGGCTGCTCACCAGGCCCTACTTACCCAGAGCCAAAGCAGATAGAAATGCTAATGCATTTGATCCCCATGGACAGAGTTCTCTCTAACTTGCCAATTAATTCTCATCTGATCTTCACTCCTTGGTACTTACCTCTTGGGATTTTCAGCTTTTGTGGGGTTATTGACTGGAGTGGAGCTTTAAGGGATGGAAAGGGGATAAGGGAAGAAGGAAGGGAAAAACAAAGCAACATATGCACACACACAGAAGTCAAATGGCCACATGCCAAGTGAGAGGCCAAATGTATCTCACTTGAGTGAAACAAAGTAATTGCTATCTTTGTGCATAGGAAAAGCCAGTGTAAATGAGTATTTCATATCAATTCAATTTCATATTTGCTTAACTTTAACTTGAGGTAAGCATTTTTTCTGTTATTCATTTTTTATCAGCTGACAGCTTCAAAGGTGAGAAATGAATGCTTGAGATGTAGAGAAATGTGGCTTCTTTTGATTCGCAGACTCCCGCTCAATCCACTGAGCTACGCCAGCCAGGGCTAGAAATGTGGCTTCTTAATCCTGGTCTGAAAAATTCAGTAATTGTGACTTTGGCAAAGTAACCCAACATCTCTATTTTCTTGTCCACACAATGATGATATGAATCCTTACCATAGATGAGCATAGGGATTATTGATAAAGCTCCCGGTGCAGTGCCTATCAGATTAGCCCTAAAATGACAGCCATTGTTACCCATAAATTAAAAATGGATCAAGCGTGAGTAGTATAGACACTGTATATGGGATGATTTGTTGATCTCATTTTAAATATTGACAAGTACTCTTTCTGTATGAAAGAAACTGAAATATCATAAAGGAGATTGGGTCTAGATACCTGATAATGAAAATGATGGTGATGTAGATGATGGTGGTGGTGGTGGTGATAATGGTGGTGGTGGTGATGTTGGTGATGACAGGGATGGTGATAGTGGTTGTGATGGTGATGATGATGGCAGCTCTCTCTCTTTCCACACAGAATGTGCCCCCCGACCTCTCCATCTGCACCTTTGTGCTGGAGCAGTCCCTCTCCGTCCGGGCCCTGCAGGAGATGCTGGCAAACACGGTGGAGAAGTCAGAAGGGGCAAGTACTTAATTCATGTACTTATTTATGAAGTGTTCTAAAGAACTCGGCTGCTCTAATGAACGATTGATTTCACAGATACCGGAGATTTTCTTTTTGCTGAAATAAGACTCACCTTTTACCTGTGATTTCCTTGAGTTTGACTTTCTGCTTGACCTTTTTTGTCTTAAAGAACTTTAAATAAAAATCTAACCTCAAGGTGATCCATGTTATTTATCCTCATTCTTATTTTCTTTAGTTTAAAACAGTATCATTCTTTGAGCTTTTGTGTGTTGCTTATATCTTGAGATCTGTGGTGGTTACTATTTTAATTAACTGCCTTATGCATGGCTCTGCATCATTAATCTTTATTTCATTTTCAGAAGCTTCTAACCATGTACCATGTTGTGAGCTTCTTTATGGCAAGTAAAATTTCGGGGTACACATATTTTCTTAAATTTTTATTTTGTTAAATATTGATTGATGTTTTTATAGAGGAAGAGAGAGAGAGAGAAGCACTGATTTATGCGTAAGTGGATGGAAACGTCCACTTATTTACGCATTCATTGGTTGCCTCTTGTGTGTGTGCTGCCTGGGGAGCGACTCACAGCCTTGGTGCTTCGGGACAGTGCTCTGACCAACTAACTGAGTTACCCAGCCGGGGCCTGGCACTCATGCATTTTAAGTAATGAGGTTGTGGTGATACAGCTTTCGTCTACTGTAATTTTCCAAACAGCTAATTATTTTCTTGTGCAAGTTGAAATTCTTATCCGGTGTCTTAGTGCAGATAAGGTTCTTTGAAAGAGTTTGGTAATTGAAGTTATTTTCCGTGCCGTGACTACGTTCTGGGTACCTACTCATTCTTAGCCAATTCTTCAAAGCTTAGAATGAAGCAGGAGGATGAATGGTCAGAGTTTTTTGTCCTTTTTTTGGGGGGGAGGCTATAATTGCTGCAGGGTGTGGTTTAATAAACTGTACTATTTCAAGGCATGAAACTGAAGTTTTGGGGTTTTTTATTATTATTGGTCTGTGTGTTGCTGTTGTGGTTAATCATGGTTCAGATCTTGATAAGTGAAGAGATTTTAAAATGATAATACACTTTTTATCAGAAAATGAGCAGTCAGTTATGATATAATGTATTTTCATTAGTCCTGTACTTTTAAAACATTTTAGTGTGATACAGCTTAGGACTTTAATTGATTTGTGCATCAATTCTAAATTAATTTAAAAATTTTATAGCATGCTACTAGTATGGAAGAGAAATCTTAGTGATTTTCATTTGATATTAGATAAAAGCTTATTTTACAAAAGATCCTAATGTGTTATGTATATTTTAATTTTCCAAGTTTATTTTTGGTTAGAACAAAGTTTGATCTTACTGTATTGAACTATATAAAGTTAAAAAATTAATCTTTAAAAAATTAATGTTTAATGCAAAGCTTTTGGAGTAGGCTTAAATTAAAGAGGTGTGAAATGTTTCTTAATTCTGACTGTTTGATTGTACCTGGAATAACCCATGCTGCTTTTTAAACATTACTCATGCATATCAGCTTTGAAATTCAAATCTCTCTTTACAAAGGAAAATAATTTCTTTTGCATGAGCAACTAGGGAAGTGTACATTGTCATTTCACTTATTTTCGTAGACACCAACCTGCTACTAAGTTGCTGCAAATTTAATTTTGATGTTGCTAAGCAGCTTTTACTAAATTTGAACTTTTGAAAAGATATTTATCTTCCCAAAGTTATGGAGTTGGGCTAGACAAGCTCTACATTTTCTGTTTATATAAGAAGTGTTGAAAATACTGTTTTATAATTTATGCTGTAAAAATACTAGTAAGATTTTCTGGACCCCCAATATTTTTATTTAGCACAATTTTATTTTGCATTGCAATCCATCCATCAGAGGGAAGGTGGTAAAGTATGTGAAGGGTCTAACACTATTTTATGAAGCCCAGCATAGCTACAATAAGACCCCTATTGGAAAATAAAAACTGAGAGAAACATGCTACAGAAAAAGAATGTATTTCATTGAGCCGAATTTCACTTTTAGACTACTAACTTTTAGGGAGAAACCAGTGTCAGATTGCTCAAAGGGATACTAGGTTTGGGGGAGAGAAAGGCTCTCTCTTAGACTGCAGAGAAGCTTGTTACACCCAGAAATCATATCCAAAATATGTAGCACAGATTGGCACAAGCATCAGTTAATGAGAGGATCTCAGGCAGCAGCGATGCTAGACGCAAGGTCCTGGAGAGGGTTGGGTGGTCTGAGGGATGTGGGGGCGGCCAGGCTTAGGGGCACTCGAGACTGGACCCTAGCCGTTTACCAGGGTGTCAGATGTTCTTCCCTGTGCAGCCATCTGGAGCAGAGAGCGCAACAGGCTAAAGAGAGCGTGTGGTTCTACGTGATCAGTGGTGCTGGGCACGTCTTTGATTCTGTGGGTGTCCACATCCCTATTCCTGGCGCCTCTTCTTCAAATTCACTGTGGGGATCCCATGACCAATCTTTTTTCAATTAAGTTGCCATCTCCAGTTCAGTAAATTTTATGCTGTAGATTTGCTTAAAGATCCACTTTTACTGGAATGAAATATGTCAGCAGAGTGATGCCAATTTTCATGAAATCGTTTCTTTCCTTTTAAGTTAACAGTGTATCAAAAAAAAAACCACATTCTTCCATCAGTTTCCCAGATGGGAGGAGGGGTCAAGGGACTGGGTAAAAAAGGTGAAGGGATCAAGAAGTGCAAATTGGCAGCTAAAAATAGTCATGGGTTGTAAAGTGCAACATAGAGAATATAGTCAGTAATGTTCTAATAACTATGTGTGGTCTTATATAAATGTCTGACCACAATGCTAGTGCACTGGAAACTAATGTAATACTGAATGTTACATGTAATTGAAAAATTAAAATTGATAGAAAACATATGTATCACCTGGTTCCCTTACTTTTTCTTTTTTTTTTTTTTAAATATTTTATTTATTTATCTTTAGAGAGGAAGGGAAGGAGAGAAGGAGAGAAACATCAATGTATGGTTGCCTCTTGTGAGTCCCCTGCCGGGAACTGGCCTGCAACCCAGGCATGTGCCCTGACTGGGAATCGAACCGCGATCGTGTGGTTCACAGGCTCGCGCTCAATCTACTGAGCTATGCCAGCCAGGGCTCCCTTACTTTTTCATAATCAGCTTTTTTAATGAAACCTTTTTATTTTTTAAAAAATAGGTCTTTCTAAATTCAAATGTCATTAAGTAAATTAAGTAATACTGATACCATTTCCTGTCCAAAATGCTATCATGTGCACACAGCAATACAAACTTACGTGACAATAGGGAAAAGATTTTTATTTAGGACCATGCCTTTTTGTGGTTAAGTGTCGTTTTGTTCATATTCTTGGGTCCCATGGAATAAATGTTTGCATGAGGGAGGGGCAGCTGTGTGGGGCTGGTTATTCCTTTGAATTTTCTGCAATAATTTTAATAATTAATATAATAATGCTGTAATAATTTGTAAGACAAGTAGAATTATTTGAACTATTAATATAAAAATTATTTTAAAAATTTCCTCCAACGAACACTATGACCTCATTAGGTTATTCTTTATAATTTTAATAGAAAGCAGTATTCACCAGGAAGACAGTGCATAACATGTCCAGAGATATTTTAAAATGAATTTTAACCCCTGGCTGGTGTAGCTCAGTGGATTGAGCGCGGGCCTGCGAACCAGACAATCGCGGTTCGATTCCCAGTCAGGGCACATGCCTGGGTTGCAGACCAGTTCCCTGTAGGCCAGTTCCCAGCAGGGGACGCACAAAAGGCAACCATACATTGATGTTTCTCTCCCTCTCTCCTTCCCTTCCCCTCTAAAGATAAATAAATAAAATCTTTAAAAAAAATAAAATAAAATGAATTTTATGTTTTAATTTATGAAAATGGTTTGTTACTTTGTATGAAATTTTAGGAATGTTTCATCTTTATAAATTACATATATATTCTATCTTGTAATTAAAGGTACAGCATACTGCAGTGTTTTAGTTACTAATAGAGAAACACATCAAACACAAGTCCAATATTTATGAAAAATGAAATTGTAGCATGTGAGGCATTGCCCACACAGCTGCGCTGTCCTTCCAACAAGCCCCTGTGCTCAGAGAGTACTCAAAAATTCATAAGAAGCAACCAGCCCAATTCACTGGTAAATGAATTATTTATAAATACATTTTTTAAACACTGAGGCACCATAAATGAGTTTAAAAAAAATACATTTATCAAACATTGAAGCACCAATTTCAAGCAAGTAATTGCGGTGAAGATAATTTTTGCACAGACGCAGGAGCAGAAGATGAAATTCAAGCTCTGCTATTTTTCTTTGTGGGGAAGCACATGGATTCTAGAGCCAATGCCTTAAGCAAACTTAGTTCCTGGTGATCTTAGACAAGCTGTTCAACCAGCATGTGCCATGCCCTCATTTGTAATTGGGGGAGGTGACAGTGTCTCCACTGCAGCTTTACTGTGAGAGTTCAAGAGTCACAGTGGCTTGTGTGTGCACAGGAGGCGTGTCAGCTATGCCACTCTCAGGGTGGTGGCTGCTCTTTGGGTTTCCCTCAACACCTCCTCCCAGCCTGCCTTTTCTGGAGAAAACCCCAATAAACCTTGGGGCAAGTATTAAATTAAAAACCAAACAAACACACAACAAAACCCCTACTTACCTGAAGGCTCTAGAGAGTTCAACAAAACCAGGCAGTTTCTGTAGAAGAGACTCTGGGAAAACAGGATTGGTATAGATGAGTTTCTAATTTAAGACTTGGAGCCTAAAGTGGATTAAGTGAGTGCTGTGTGGTAGCTAAAATGCTGAAAGAACATGCACAATCTCTCTGAAGATAGAGTCTAGGGCCTTTGGAAAGTGAAGGAGTAATCCTGGAAAGGAGAAGCCAGGAAAGGGAAGCCCAGAGTCTGTGCCTAAACCCTGCCCAAGTCTCTGGCTGATGCTTAAACCCTGTGTGTATTTGTGCATGCGTGCGTGCACTGCACT